GTTGGGAACATGTCATAGACAACAATGGTCATTACATTGAAGACTGAAATTGCATTTCAATAAAATTATAACATTTTGAAAAATTTGCGCAGAATGTTCCAAGACTTTCTTTCCAACCCAATATATCCTGGATCAGTCAGACATTAGTCCCATCCCTCCCCAATCTGAGATAGGCCTATAGGAAGGACACATACCAAACTTCAAAGGGCGGGGGACTAGTCGAGAGGATGTTCTGAGTTCATATCGAAAAAGATGCTTCTCATCTTACAATAATATGTATCTATCAGAAATTTTGAGAAATCAAGATGCATTCATGAAGAGAAAGATTTCATTGTTACCTTGAAACTTTGATAGAGCCTTGTGTAAGTAAACCTCTCCCATAGATACAAACATACATTTTCGATATCACTCATCCCAACTTAATGGGGCTTCGGTTCGAGCACGAGCTGGAGCGTTCTCCAACGACCTCGATCCTGGACAACGGATTCAAGCTCGACAGGAGAATGCCGAGCTTCACATGACGAAGCCGAGCCGATGTAATCACTCCACCATGTACCAGTTCTACCGACAGGTGTTTAGCTGGTCATATTGTCCTGGAAGACTCCTCTTGGAAGTCTCTCAGAGGGCATGTAGCAGACGTGTCCAAACCACCAAACCTGAAACCTCTCGATCCTGAGAAACAGCTGCTAGACAAAGAAGCTCTCGCGCCGGGTAATTTGATTGCCTCGTGGCCGAGCAATTCCATGTTTCTAGGTGCGTCGGACCCTGTCATGCTAGATCAAGGCCTATCCGTCGGCTTGGACCGACCATCGCTTATTCTCGACAAGATGCTCTAAGGGTAGACCACCCTCTCTGTGTCAACAAAATACAGTTTCCAACTTAAAACAGGGAATTCTCCTATATGTATTGAGGAATGTGCCAGAAAATAATTGTTATTATGGTATTCATATCTGAAATGTTTAATGCAATATCGCACTAAATCATTTTTAAAAATGTGTGATTTTCCTCCCCCCAGCAATGAAAAAAATAACTGTCGAACAATCAAGTCCAAATAGTCAGGATAAAAACTTAATGCATACATGAAATATATTTCATGAATAAAATTTCACAGATTCTGTGGCCAGATGAACATGTTACCATTGTTGACGTAAAAATGACGATTGAAAATACTATATAGATTTGCTAGCAGCACTACACCGCTTTTCTAACTCTTTAAACCCTTGATACTTTGGAATGCTGTCAGTAATTGGCGCCAAAAGTGGACTAAATTATTTACTCGAAAAAGGCTAAAAAGAGCATGACCAAAGAGTTAAGCAATCTTGGTGAATTTTGGTACACAATTTTTCAATAGTGTACCATGTAATAAATTAGAGTTTTTATGCTGGTGAAGAATATTCGTTGAGAAAACTTACCAAATGCCTGAGGAATAAGAGGGAGCAGCGCCATTAACACATTGACTGCCGGAACTTTAAAAGCACCTGTTTTCTCTTCTCTTCCATCAGCTTCATTATAGGGTATTTGTATCTAACAGCAATTGCAGGGCCAAGTTCAAATCTTCGAAGATAAATTTATCAAGTTCTTAAAGTGTTTGGTCGATATGGGCAAACTGGAATGCATGCATCTCAGCAGTGAAAATACAGCGAAGGTGAATCGAAATCGTTAGGAACGAAAATCGAAAAATTTGCAAATAATATAGACCTGAAAAGAGATTTTCAAGGCTGCTTTGATCCAATGGGAGATGACCAGAATCGAAATCGCACAACCCCTCCTTAAGGTACTATGGGAGGATGAAAATCGACCCCCCTGGATCGAAATTCTGCTTTATAATTATTGTAAGGGACCTCAAGAAAGGGCCTTGGAGCCGATTGCTGACTCTCTGCGGTCACACCCGAGGCCATGATTTGAGGTCAAAGGTCACGATTTACATTCCTCTCTTTGAAAAATTGTGTCTCTCCAAACATTGGTCACAGAAACGTCAAATTCGTGCCATTCTCCTTGGAAGATATCACGCTAAATGTAAAAAATAAATACATGCATGTAACCGTCGTTATCGAGACGCCATAGCGCCATAAATGCGAATTTTTCCGTTTTCGGATTCTGTTTTTTCGCTTTCATTCCTCGTAGAAATTTTCTATCGGCAAAAGCATGCTACACTTTTTGGAGGCTATCCTGATCCATCTTTTGGCGGAGTTGCGCATAGTTTCCTCCAACCGTTCGCCCTCAAAGTTCGACGATCCACACGAAAATGCCACTTTTTTGGAAATCACTTGAGATTGACGGACATAGCTCAAAAACGAAGCCGAAATTCAAAAATTCCTCTGATAGAATTCTTAAGGAGTCTCTCAAGAAGCTTCGTTTGGATTTTCATGAGAATCCGTTCGCTATCATCGGAGCCTATCGTTTTTTGCCGTGACCCATTTTAAAATTGAGGCCATTTCTGTCCTACCGGGTCGATTTCCTCGGTTCATCGGTCGCAAATACTGGACTTTTTTGTTCCTATCCCATAGAGATATGTTTCAGGAATCAAATGACACCAAGATTGCTTACTTTCTCCCAGGTGATAGAGAACGCTGGGTTTTAATTCCGGATTTGCATGGAATCTTGAATCTTCGCGCGCAGCTCTTCTTTCTTCGACCTCCCTCCCGACTCACTCTCCCATGTTCCTTCGCCTGCCAAGAGACTCCTGTCGCATGCACGCACTTCCCCCTCGTCTTTTTTTCCCCTCTCTTCCCCCGTCTCACTGGCACCTGGCGCTGACCCTTCCTCAGTCGAAAAAGAGCCGCCGCGATTCCTATACTATGGAGCATTAAGGATTTCTGTGACTCGTGTATTTTCGTTATCGATCCTTGTGCAGGCAGTACACAATCTAAGGCTCCAAGGGTAACGATTTTCACGAGATTACTGATTATGCTTTTCCTGATTATGATTAATCGAATATGTGATGTTCGCAAAGGGGAGTTTGTCAACTTCGGTCCCCCTTTCCTTTGAAGTGAAACGCATCCCGCAGATTAGAATGGACTTTGAGCTTCAAAACTTGTCTGAAAAAGTAGTTTCATGAGATGAGCCATTTTAGAGATGCTTGAGAGACACGGAACGTTGCCTGACCTCCCGGGAAAGGTGAGATTGAGGATGGTTCTATTTGGGGGAGTATTAAACTAAAATGAAGGCGCACAGCTTCAACATTTATACCACCGGTTATGTTGGAAACCAGACAACAAATATTTACAGAAAGTGATTTTTCAAGTGTGGCACTGTCGAGATGTAGGGAGGAGAAGTCTAGCGTCTGATTGAAAGGGAGGTACATTATGCAGGCATTAACCCTTGTGTATGTTTATCTCACATAAATATTGTCAAAAATAAAAAAGTATCGGGCAGACTCTGGACTATAAATCTTGTTGAGACAGAATTTTCCTAAACTGAAACGTTTTAGAGATAAAGGAGGGAGAAGCGAGTCAGCTCTCCACTGTCAATTGTTAAGTACTGGAGCACGTGGTATTGTTTCCTGTACTCAACGGCTCCCCGTCTACAACCAATCAGGAAGCGCTAGTGTCATCTGCTCCTGCGCGTGACTTGAACTCCGTATAGTTAATCATAAATCCTTGCTATATTTGCTGTTTAATAGTCACTCGACTGGTCGAATCAAAACACAACTCGGAAACAGTTCGCCCCGTTAACACCATAATAAGTAAATCGAAAAATCAACGAAGCAATCGAATTCCCAGGAGAAACTTACCAAACGCACTCTTTGGTTCTGGTCCCCCTTTCATCTGCATCTTCAAGTTTCGTATATGGGAAATGTTTCGAAATTTCGAGTCTCACGTACACGCACAAGTTGAGCAGAACTTTGCTGAGTCAGTGGATATCCTAGCATTCTTTCTCGGTCCTTCTTCCAGCAAATTTAGCGTCGAACAACGCCATTAAATGCATTTTCAATAGACCGTTTCGTCGTATAACAAAAATTTCACAATTCAGAAAACAAATTTGACCTCTTTAAAAACAAAATCTGAATATCGCAGGAACGCACGCATGATTCCATTTAAGAATCATCATGAAAGCACACCAAGCTCAACCATATGCTCCACAATTTCAACTAGGCGTTGCTTCATGACCGGATTTTCCTTGGAGAGTAGCTGCTGCTCCGAGAGTCTCATCAGTTCATGCGAATCCAGGTCCGTCTTCGTGTAATCGGGAATGTCCGTCTTGTCGGCCAAAATGACAGGAATGCCGAGCATGGCCATGAGGAACCCGAACTCTTCGCGTTCCTCCACGTCCTTCTGGAAATCTTGATAAGAGTATTCAAGTGTGATGCCCAGACTCTGTGCGGTAGCGACAAGAGTGTCGTAGTAAAGCTTGAAGAAAGCAGGTGTTTCCTTCCGAGTCTCCTTAGATGTACTGCAGTAGAGAAATTCGAGAAGGTCGCGGCAGGGGTTGCCGTAAGCAACATCCTGGAGATCAAGGATCCTGATCCCCACTGGTGCTCTCGTGTCGGGGTCGTATCGAAACATCATATTGTTGCACCAGCAATCCCCATGGATGAAGGTCTGCAATCTTCCCTTTGCCCCTATCAGTTGGAAGAATCGGTCTCTCCCTCCGTCGACTCTCTTTATGTAGTTCGTCACCCTTCGAGCGTTCTCTTCCTGCCCTGATATGTTTTCCAGGACTTTCCACACGATCTCGAGGCCGTTCCGCAACATGTCGCCGAATTCTGGCAGTTTTTCCAATGCATTTTCGCAGAATATAGGCCTAGAACTGAACTCTGTATGTCGGTCGACAAGGACTCCCAAAGCATGGAATTGTCCATAAGCCTTCATCAAGAGTCGAACTTCGTCTGGTTGGAGACCCTGGTACTTATCAGCCAATCGAAAACCCTTCCCGCATAAGTCTTCCATGATGACAGCTGCGATCGGTGTAGATTCGTCGTTAGCATAAATGCAACGGGGAACATCGGGCATGAGAATATCTTCCCTGCGCAGTTTTTCCTTCTGCAAATTGATCATGGTTTGGATGAGGTCGTTGTAGACGACAACTTCTCTTTCGAACAAATGTATCTGCTGTAAAGTCTCCCTGTGCTTCGGCTGAACTGGAAGAAATTTTCCAATGTACACGGCTTCGCGGTTCGTCCGTAACCCGTCGCAGCTGCAGATGTAGCTGGCCTGGATACGATAAACGATGGTGGCGAAATTTTCACCGGCTTCTGTCGCTCGTTCTACATGGAAGTCCTTGACATCGATCTCTTCCTCTCCGGTGTCTTTTTCGATTATCAACTTGAGGAAATCCACTGTGATGTCATCCACGTCCTGATGGACTCCCTCCATACCAGCAACTGCCAAGAAACCGAATATTTTATGTTCCATTCCGAAACACTTGACGTCCATGATAAAAAAAATTGCAGCACTCAATGAGTGTCATGTTAATAATTAGATTTGGAATCTAATATTCGTGTCTTTCCGTATTATTGGTTTCTTATAAGAATCTTTCGAATAGTGGGTGACTTTTTATATTGTAATATACCATGTAGTCGCTCACGTAGTCACCTTACCAGGTGACAGGATCACTGTCCCAAAGTCAATTATTGCCCACATTAAGAAAAGCAACGACTATTCTCCTTCTAACATCACACTTGTGGTGAATTGCTGCATGTTGCATGAAATAAAGGAATGAATTGTTGCATGAAATAAAGGAACTGAAAAGAGTTCATCATGTTGCTTTCAAGTGAACTATTTTCATATTTCCCTCATTCCATGGGAAATGTTTCGAGCAATTTGGTCTTATCAATTGCCAACAAATTATCTCTTGTTTCTCTACTTGGCTAAAATGAATCTGGAACATGCCTGCAAGTTAAGAGGGAAGAGCGAAGGTTGATATTATGGCCGCATTAGTGCCTGCATTTTGGCGGCGCGCTGTCGGCCGGAGCCGGTGACGAGTGTGACGTGTCGATTGAAGACCGAAAAACTATTGCATGTAGTAATGTGAAAACCAATCTTCAATGGTTCACCTTTCTCCAACCTCATCCTCAACCACAACCTCACCCCCCCCCCCCCCCCCTTTCTCGACGGAACTCAGTAACGTCAGGCCTAGGTAGGGTTGCCACCCGTTCATAATTAGTATGGACAGTTCTTATTTCAGATGCAATGTCCATACTGCACACTTGTCTTAATATGTACACTACTTCACCCATACCTTAAACTTAAGGTTTTTTTTAGTTAATAAAGCTTAATAGCAGCTAAAACCAGTTTTCTTCAACTTCAGAATAGTATGCCACACCCTTATAGCATCAAATGGTATGTTGGTTAAAGGTGGCTGTAGGTATTTGCAGCAGAACCACAAATGCAAGTATACTTCATATATTTGTCCATATTCCCATATGTCCACAGACAATAAGTCCATATTTTGCTAATTTCAAAGGTGGCAACGCTGGGCCCAGGCCTTACCGACGGGCTGTCTTCGGGTCAGGCCTAGGCCTACCTTTTTTCGTTCAGAAGAAACTCAATCCTCGGCCTACGGCCGGTGGCGGTAACGATTGTGACATGTCGACTGAAGACCATAAAACTATTGTATGTATTGGGTTGGAAAGAAAGTCTTGCAACACTTTCTAAAACTATGAAAATTTTGAAAGGAATGATGGGCGGGGCTTTGCATTTGTATATGCTGGAATGTTCTCTAAGCTTCTGCACCCGGGGTATATAAGGCGGCTTCTGCCATTAGTTGGCAGCCATGGCTCCGATCGAACAAGCAACTCTTCGCCTCATCGTCTATTACGAGTTCCTCCAAGGACACACTGAGAGAGCCGCGGTGGACACTGCGCTGCATTCAAGGGCAACGTCGTCCACCATTCCACGGTGTCTCAATGGTTGAAACGCTTGAATCTGGCGACACGACCTTCGGAGATCGACCACGCTCGGGACGTCCATCGACAGTCGATGACGAAGCCCTGCGAAACGCCCTCGACGCGAAGCCGAACGCCACCACTCGCGAATACACTTGGAGTCACCCATATGCTAATCGGCAACCACCTGAATGACCTCGGCTATCGAAAGGTCTACTCGACATGGGTCCCTCATCNCATTACATTGTAGACTGAAATTGCATTTCAATAAAGTTATAACATTTTGACAAATTTGCGTAGTGTTGCAAGAATTTCTTTCCAACCCAATAGTAATGTGAAAACCAACTTTGAATTGTTTACCTTTCTTCAACCTCAACCTCAACCTCACCACCCCCCCCCCCCTCTCCCTCTTTTTCTACGGAACTCAGTAACGTTCGGCCTAGGCCTGTTCCGCTGAGAGTCACCCGGCGCGGACAGTCAACCGTCCCCAGTGCGAGAGTCCGTATCTTTATCCGTATCTCACGTACATATTACGTACGTATTTAAAAACTTGGGGAAATACAGTTGCGGAAATCCTCTCAAGCAAGATTTCAGAACGAAAGGTACAGGGTGGCCCGAAAAAAAGCATATTACGATTTTCTGCAAAGTTGCTGTAAAATAAAACATGCTGTTTAATTGTCAGCTCATGGGATCTTCCTTGTTGTCATTGTTAGATTTAGGGTGCCATTAAACTGCCATACATGCTAGAATCTGAAAAGACAGGAAAGAATAAGGGTTAGCATAATCATGCAGTATTAATTCTTGTACTTCTACACAAATTGGCGGTTTTTTGGGCCACCCTCTAGTGTGGGATCTTATCATTAATGTCCATTCAGGCCTCAGTTCAGCATACAAATGGGTGCATATGGGGAAAGATACATAGAGACATCTCACTCCCATTCACCCATATATGTACCAACTCCATACCTCCACATTATGGGTAACCCATCTCTTGAAACAAACATTCACATAAGGGGTTCTTCTAAAAGATCCGTAGGAGGAACACGGTTTTAAATTCTGTGTTCTTTGAACCTTCCCCAGGCATTATATAACTTGAGCAAACCAGGCCAACCATTGAGTTTCCCATTTGTTGCAATTAATTTAACTATCGATTTTTACAATTCCATGCTTACAGCATTTCCAAGACATGCTCAGCAAATGGGGTGTGAAAAATATATTTTCATGACCAAGACATCCCATTTCACAGGGTTGTGTAGAGAATGGGAATGGATTAATGAAAAGAAAGCTTCGACATTGCATGGAACAGGAAAGCACATCACATTGGGTGAAGTTGCTTCCCAAAATCCAATGTTGATGAAACATTCAGCAGTTTTTGTTCAACAATATTCCCCTATACTAATGACATGTATTACTCCACACCAGTCTTCATGAACACTGAATGGGTGTCTTCAATTAAGAACATGCCATATCACATTCTCTTTGGGCAACACCCCAAATGGTGACTTGGTGACCCTCTCTTTGATCTTCCTTCTGATGAGGATGATCATGGAGCAACAGGAAATACTGGAAGTTGGGACTCACAAGAGCCTGACTAGCTAGACCCTTTCAAGCACATCAACTACACACTAGGATGCCAACAGTGCCAATCCTAACTTGAACTCTAGGCAGAAAATGAGAGACACGGTCAACCAAGCTCTCAAGGAGAATGCTAATAAAATGAAAGAGAGATATGTCAAAAGGAAGAGGACCATCATAAGAGAATTTCATGCAGGTGATGAAGTCACCTTGAAAATTCCCCAAAAGAAAAGAAAGACTTTAAAAACATTACAAAATCAGATTCCTTGTCTCAGTCAACAAAACCAAAGAAGGCTTCTACAAGCTTGTGGCTCTAACTGGAGTCATAAGGGGACAGTATGTGCATGTACACTTATACACATGCATGCACATTTACTTTCTCAAATTGAGTTTAAAACTAATATATATCTTTAACATGTTACAGCTATCAAGGTGGTGAGCTAGATCCCTACTTCGGGGATGACATCCCAAAATTGGAAAAGCATCCCACCATTTGCGTAACCCTCAGAACTGCCTGTAGAAAACTATTCTGCATAAACAATGAAATTTGTTATGGGTGTCTAAACAACAAAGGTCCCAAGCATGACAAGGACCATGATAACTGGTTGCAGTGTGACTGCCAACGATGGTTCCACTTTGAATGTAGGGATGAACTGTCCATCTGCCCATTCTGCTTGGCATTCATTTCTCCATTGATGAGATCTATTGATGAAGAATGAATTTGCTTTCAATCATCTGCACCTTCCATGTTTTTGCCATGGCCTTTTTTTATACTTTTGCCACTATTGAAAACTTGTTTTCAATGCCTTTAGGAAGTATTTATGAATATTTAGAGTGTGTATAAAAAATTTTCCCTATACCACCACCTCTTTGCATAAATTTTGAGAGGGCATGTTTTCATTTGGACTGAACATTTCGCTTTCAACAAAAATATACTATGACAAGCAAAGAACCCTGAAGATTTCAATTTGCAAAATTTGCTACCAGCCCACCTAAATTACTGATTAACCCAGGATAAGGGTGCTTTGGACAGGTAAAAAAAATGGGGGGGAAATCACCACAATAGACAGTAATTCTGGGTAATGGTTAAGCACACACCCTCTAACGAAATTGCACTCCCTCAATCTCCAACGTTTCCAGGGGAATATAACTGGAAACATGCTGCATTGATTGGGATTCCTTTTACATATAATAAACACCACACCGCACCACCCCACCCTAAGCTATCCTAGCATAATTTAAGGAACAACACAATATCTCTAGGGGGTACACACTTATTTCATGACTGTAATTCAGTTTGCTGTCAATGAGGACAGAAACTTAACACTCTTTAATGAAACATTGCAGTAGGCCTAACCTCGAAATTAACGCCAGGACAATCAATGGTTTAGGTCTGGTTTCATTCAAGTTTCTCCTTCATCTTTCACTTGGTTCAATATTAAGCAGAGGCTAAAAGAAAGGCCTAGTAGCCTACTCTCCGCGGGTTGGCTTATTCTCCGCAACAACGATGTGCGGACAGGCAATGGGACTACTCTCCGCGCGGACGGTTAACCAACCGCGCCTGGCCAACTTTCAGCTGAACAGGCCTAACCGACGGACTGTCTTCGGGTCAGGCCTAGGCCTACCTTTTTTCGTTAAAAAGAAACTCAATCCTCGTCCTATGGACCAATTAGGCCTATAAAGATTAATCCCTCGTCTTCAGACACCTCGTTGAGGACGTGTAACCTTAGGCAAATAGAAGGCCTATTCAGTCTCTCATGGTCCATTTAGCAGAGAAAGTGTAACGTTAGACCGAATGTAAGGCCTTTTTTGAGTTTCATGAGCCATTTCATTGCGGTCGGGGAACATTAGGCCTATCCAGAGTTCCTCGAATCCTCTCGACGACTGAGAAGATAGTGCCCTTCAAAAGCAAGACACACACACGGGCAGCCATCATGTTCATTCAGGGATGTTACGCAGGCAGCCATCATGTTCATTCAGGGATGTCCGGATGAGTTATCTCGGTATTCCACCGAATTTATAGGCCATTGCAAACCACCGCTTCAATCTCAGCTCATCCCATGAATTCAGCACAATAATTTCTCCTATATTAAAAAGAGAAGATGCAGACACCTAAAACTAAGGTCGAAGAAGTCACGAATCTGGGATAACTAAGACACATTATCCGGCAACACTGGAGGACGAGACTGGAGCATAGACGTATATACAATATTTTTCACTTGAGTTTTGACTTCGACAACGGTGCATGGTGAGGGTGATATAGCGGATCGACACAGAAACAAGGAGTTCCATTCTTAAGTGCAGATGTCGTGATGACATTGGCGACAACGATCATGATTAATTTCCTGCTGAAGAAAGGGACTACTAAATATGAACCTTCCCAAATACACTATATATTGAAATGCTAATTTAATAACGTGAAAAACTAGGCTTTCGTGTCACCCATTACTGTTTTCCTTAATATTTCAATAAAACAGGTGAAGATTTGGGCATCGTTCCTGCCTAAACAGCATGTTTATGTTAATTTTACGTAAAATGAATGTAAATTTTTTGTCAATTTTATATCATTTTTACGCAAACCATTGTCAAGAAAATGTCAACATGTTTGCAGAAATGTCACCTCTGTGATATGTAAACGGTGATGTAAAATTAACGTAAATTTTACGTGAAATTGACATTCCCGTTTGCATTCCAAACAGCATGTTTATATTCATTTTACGTAAGATTTATGTTAATTTTCCCCTGGCATTCATGCGTATGCGTCAATCAGTCCCATTGAAGAGAATTGATACACCGAACCTCCTATTCCTTTAGGTAATTCAGAACTCTAGGGTGGTTGGGCGAGTACACGAAAACTCATCCTCACCAGCACTCAAGAGTACCAAAGTGACCTACTGCTTCCTCCTCCTCCCGCACCGGATCCTCGGGAGGAGGAGTAGATGTTCAAAGGAGCTCTCTTCCTTTGTAGGATAGAGAAGATATATTACTTGTGCAACTGGGATTCTACTCTTCCCTAATCCCGTGCACTGCTGTAAAAATATATATATAATAATTTCATGTTTTCCATATATATATTCATGGATTGCATAATAAAAAGTAAGAAGGATGGTAAGAAAACCTGATACTATATCAGGAAAACCAGTACTGTTTATATATTTCTGCATATCACCCATTGCTTGAGAAGCAGAGATCCAGATACTCCACTCTGACTGTTTCAAGGGGCCCCTTCACTTGACATTTAAGGTGCACTATGGAGTAAAATAAGTTGAACTGATTCATCATGCTGTATAGCTCATTATTAAACTGGGTCAATAAAACAGCATCAACAGCCAAGAAAAGTAATTTTATTGGTGATACACCACTGATGATGACTCCCTTACAACCTTGGCTACACATACAAATCTTGCCCATGTATGCAAGGAATAAGAAAGGAGAGACAATGCAACCTTTGTATAGCCCGGCACATGCTGATGAATAGTCCCTAAAGCTTCTATAGAAGCTCATGCTTGTAGACCTTTCAAGATCCATGAGGTGTATCTAAAACTTTTTACATCCCCTCTTAATGTTTCCAAGAATCTGCTACAAAGAGCTGCTCCATCCCACTGCACCCTCCATGAAAGTCACTGTTTCTTCAAAATTTCACAAGTAGGTGGACACTGAACTACAATGGAGCCCAAGCTAGACATCTTCACATGCACTCAGTCTCAATAAGTAAATTGTTTCCATATAAACAAAATGGAAATGCTTTAAGTCCATCAGACAAACTTTCTATGCTGTACCTTTTCTGAGAGAGAAATTGAACTGATAGTCTAGTCAGACGTCTTTCTCCCTGAATCACAAATCTTTAGACTCCTGCATCATTTGAAAACAATGTTGCATACAAAATGCACATATTTGAACAATGCACTTAAGCTATCTATTTTTTTGGCTATTGATGCATGCAATGTAAACTTTGAATTCTGATATGAACTCTTGGATTCACCTCTCTCCTGTGACCTTGACACTGGTGAATAAACTATAAACTTGCATCCAGGCTTGTGAACTACAGCCCAGATTTTGCCCACATACAATTTCCCTTTCCTTTTTTCCATAATTTCTGCTCAATTGTGCATACACTACTCCTTTGATATTGACGATACTTAAGACAAATTAATTCGAAATTAAATCGAAACGAAAGGAAACTTGCTCAATCAACGTAGTTAAGAAAAGTTGGTTTAGGCATAGATACTGAAAGGAATACCAAAACGTTCAAATTAGGCCTGCAAGAGCAGGGTAATGATCTGTGGACCGGAAGTACCTCTAAGTTAGGTCCAATGGACATAATTTTGCCTGGGCCCTTTGCAAATAGGCCAAACATGAAGCAGATCAAATGACTAGCTTACAATCGGCTATTGAAAACCGGGAGTGCTTGGCCTAACCCAATGATCCCATGTATACGGAAGGCCTAGGCCAGATTCTCTGTATCGTTAGTGAACAGTTAGGCTCATCCATTGGACACGCAACCATAGGCCTGTACTTGTATACCTATCTTGCCTTGTGAAATGTGTGCTCGTAAAGCTTTACTTCGGGCGGACGTCCATCACGATTTCTGAGGTTGGGATGAGAGAAATGCTCCAGCATGGGTACCACGTGATTTTACAGGCTCGTTTGACCCCAAAAAGATGGCTTCAAAAGGTGTTGCGACAGCAGCGCCAGTTTCCGCCCCTTGGCGACCACTGGGTGCATGGTAGAGGTGTTGGCGGGTATTGGCAGGGCATGCTTCCGTATTCAGAAGGGCTGCTCCAGTGTTCCCGCGGTATCTGCTCCATTACTCGGCCAATTCTCACAGCAGGCCCACTTTAGCCTAGAGCCAACCAATATGGCTTCAAAATTTACCCGTTTGCCCCATGCTACTCCTATGGGCGCGCCATCTCCAGTTCTATTTCTTAGCTCAGTGGACTGGAGCCATCTCGCTAGGCTTAAATTAACGGCATCTATTTTTCATTTCTCATGGCGAAATGAGGCACTGGAAGCAACACAAACGACACTTTTTGCTTTTTGTCAGCTCCAGGTCAATATTGTGATGGTCTTGGCGGCCTATCTCGTCAGGTACCCGCCCGGAGTACTGAATCCGGAGTCGTTCGGGGTACTGACGAGGTCCGTCCTCCAGTCCGCGGACCGGATGCCGACACTTGTGGTAGCTGTGGCCGTAAAGGAGGCCTTAGAAGCGGGCGCGAACCCAACGAAAACTCAAGAGCGCAGATACAGCCAAACTTTAATGTGAGACACTGGGTTCAGCAACACAACTAAGTTTCTCTGCCAGACCAATCAGGGCAATCTGGCCCGTCGCAAAGCAACTGAATGTAACAGCCAAGAAAGCTTTAGTACACACGAACCGAATATTGACCGCGATTACCAGACGCGAACGGGGACAGGGACAATACCCTAGCCGGGCAAGTTTACCGCCTAGACGGTGATAGGGCACGAGGGCGTAGAGGGTACTGAACCTCGTTGCCTCCGTTTGCGAATGCGGTCCTGAGCTTCTCCACAGCTCCCCACTGCCCTCTCTAGCTCGGTCCTCCTCGGGTAGTGATGCCCGCTCGGCTCTACCCCCCTAGGAGGTGTACACTATTCCCTCGCGCTTGACTTCTAATCAACTTCCTTCAGGGTACCGGTGGAAACATTCCTGACCCCCGACATAAGGGTGGTACACAGGGACCCATCCTTCTCTCCACACATCAGATATTTAGACATAAGTACCGGTTTAAG